AGCGTCACGCTCGCGCTGGGAGAAGTTTCCAGACATATTAACCTCAGCGTTGCTGGATGCGCCGCTGGAGTCATTGTCGTCTTTTCGCACCCAGATCGTATCAGTCTACCCATAAAGCGATCGTGGTCACGGAAAACCATGACTCTCCTCAACACTTCTGGCATCCGTTCACGCGCAGACTTTTTATTCAGCAACTAAATTATCTTGTTTACGATTCGCCGTAGACGACGTCGCATGCAAGCTCAATTCCGCTGCTTTCCTTGCTTGTGGTAAACACCCCGCGAAAGTATCTATAAGTAGAGCCAGACGGTGTTACAGACATCATTATGTTCAGCGACCGAATCTATCGCTGGTTAGGTGTCTGGTGAGCCCGGTCCGTGACGGCAAGAATTCCAGTAAAGAGCTACTGACATAACCAGTGGCCGATTAATGGGGTCGACATCCTGAGGGCAGCCGCTGAGAGCGTAAGATCTGCCCCGGACTTACGTAAAATGGCTCCTTCTAGAAGTCAGACCCGAAATGCGGAAAATAAAAACGTCAACATTATCAGCAGCGAGCCCACGGCAGCATCACTATCGTCGCCATATACAGGACACAGGAAGGTGTTCGGACAGATAACTCGCTGGTTTGTCCGGATCGCAGTTTTATCGGCGAAAGTTCGTCCGAGTCGCGACGCCCATCAATGCATGGCCAATATTTGGCGGCAAGAGTCGAAGTATAGCATTAGGAGAAGCATGCGTTGTACGGCCCATTTATGGTTTGTGATATGCTCGACTTTGAAAAGACCACTTTCTGCCAGTGAGGAACGCCCCGAACGAAACGGCTGATGCGGAACGGATATGATTGTGATGTCCTTACACAGTGAAAGGACGACATCTCGAATTCATTATCCTAGCAGATGACTTGGCAGCGACGAGCTTGGAAAATCAATGTCTCTGAATCAGCGGTCATGGGCTCATGAGCTGGACTGGAGGAAATGCCAAATCTCGCGGAGATGATCTGCGTGTCACCGGGCAATCCTGAAAACTCGCCGACTGTTGATCCGTTTTTCCGATTGAGAATCCATACGGGAAAAGTTCGTGATCGCTAGCAGTGGCTCGCTATGGGTCTTGTTGGAGTGAATTGTAAAACTAACCGACTGCTTTGGATCCGAAGTTGCCCGTGTTTTTCTCTGTGGGGTTTTGTTCCCGCGATGGTCGCTGAAGTGACATAAATTTTTATATGTGACTTCCTCCAGCATTTTATGAAGGTGATTGGTCTTCGCCTTTGTCTGGAAGAAGAGCGCGGCTAGAATAAAAGGTGAAGAAAACACGACAATCGCGAGAAGTTTTTGAATCATCTATTGAAAATTACCTTGAGGCTCCTATCAGAGGGGGAACAATTCTGAGGCCTTGCATTCCTTCAACTTTCAAAATTCAAATCCGTGTCGACTGGTTATTCGCAACAGGAGCCGGACATCTCGCGCTACCCGATTTTCCTAGTGGGGCGAGAATGAACGTCTGCCTGGGGAGACAGATGCGTCAATCGACCCTGGACCCGCTTAAAAGGTCGTGGACTAATCAGAAAGCGGGGACCGTTATCGGCATCCGATCAGGATAGTCGTCGTCCTATGTTTTGCGATCAAGCGCTGTGCGGAGAATAATTCCTTCCGATAGGGGCGGAGTCGGAAAAGACGAGGGAAGCCATCCGCATGACGGCGATCGGGAGGTTTTTGGAATGCCAAGCAGTAGTCAATTGCAGGTCGGGAGAGCGGAAACCGAAGCCACGTCGGGATCCTCAATGTGAGGAGCTTCAAAAGGAAAGAGAAACAACAGAACGTTGCGGGATCAACATTGGTTTTATCAATGGCGGATTCGATTTCTGAAGATGAGAGAACCTTACGGGATGATTCCGAGAATCGAATCATTTATTTGAGAGCTCGAGAGCACCGAGGAAGGCGGTAGTGATTAGGTTGAAAGAGGCTGATGCAAGAGCATGAGACCGGCTTCAGCCTCTCGCTCTACAATGATCGTCGCCAATTGACAAATTCAACGATCAGTAGCAGGCAGAGTCGATGTGACCGATATCACATTCTGCGGTCGAATTCCCCGGAATACGCCTCCGAATGTGTACGTGGTTACAGCTACAGTGAAATCCGATTCTTTCAAAATGAGCGAACTACGAGTCAGAACACCCCTTGACCCCGTTCCTAATACGACAGATCGTGTCGAGGGGAAAGGCGGGAGCTAGCAAGCAAGTGATAAACAAACGAACCAGGCATGTGTTAAGCAATAGTCACGATTGATGAAAACTCGGAGCAGGTGCTCGAACGTCTCATTCATTCACCCTTCGGAACCGAACTCCGATGGCGGTCGCAAATGGAGCATCGGAGAGGCTCCGTCAATCCAGACATGCGAAAGTGCAAGCTGCCTCGGAATGCGCGTGGAGCCAGATGCTGCCTCTCGCGATATCGAGCAGCTTCGGAGAACCTTTTGCAGCCGCTCTTCGCTGGATATGATCTCCTAACTCCTAACGCAGGGGTTCTTAACCTTTTTTGCCCTGCGGAACCCTTATTATTGGTTTCGGACTCTATCTTTCGAAATTTTTCCCCTTTATCACCTTAAAACCTTCGACCACGATCGCATGAAGTACCCTGCATGCATTCGAGCTTAGGGGCTTAAAAGTCTGAGCAGCCGAGCAGGGGCTCGCCCAACCCTGGGATTCAGCGGAACCAAGGTTAAGAAGCGCTGTCCTAGCGTAATCCTCAGTATTTGGAGCAAGCCCTTCGTCTTAGTCTACGCCACATGGAGCTCATCAAATTTTACCCTTCTGTTTTCACATCTGACGAAGCGGTTTCCAATGATGTTTGTTCGAATGAATGATTGAGCCGAGAAAGCTGACCCGGCACATCTACAAAACCAAGCGCGGGCAGGGGAGTTGCTCGGACTGTGGAGCTGTAATTCATCGCGTGAGCGTGAGCCATCATCCTTAGATATCATTTGTTCCCGGAGCCATTATGGCAGGGTGCTGAAAATCTGAAGTTTCACATATCTGATTCCAGCTGAAACGTTCCATCATCGACGCCTCGCCGAAAAGCTGCACTTTGACTGATGTCGGCTGTCAACATCCGAGGAAATGAAATTTGATCCAGCTAAGGCAAACTTCACGTTTTCCCCCGAGCCACAGTCAGTACTGAGCAAGGCATATTGTGCGTTCGGGGGAATGACATCGAAACTCGTGGTTCGCTATCTCGTGCGTTTTTATGCACAGCTCTGCGCAGGCACGTGTTGAAAATGAACGTTGATAGCATCGTGGAGCCTTCGAAGCTCGACATTACTATTTTTCTCCGTTTGCAGATCCATCGACAGTGTCGTGGGCAAAAGAAGTCCCATCGGTCGGATCACAACGATTTATTCATTCATTCCGAACCCGACTATTTGAATTTTCGAGCTTCCGCTGCCCGTTGGCATCTGGTATCCGAGTATAGAGCACAGCGTTGGGACGGATTATCTTGATCGATGAGGTATCTCGTACGGAGAGGAAGGTATTCCTTCTCCACGGAAAATCGATATCAGCTGCCAATGCTCTTCGGGCTCATCATTGGACATGGACAGAACATCTGATTGTGGGGTTCTCGGATTCTGATTTCGCTGAGGAACGCTCGAAGAGAACCATGGGCGGAGCTCGTCCGCACTCATTCATGCGATAATCATCTCGTTCCCTCATCGGATGCGGGAAAACGTCTTCCTATTCAAACGGACCGCATTTTTTTGACTCCCGCGTGTCTTCAGGGCTGATTCAGCGATAAGTTCAACTAATTGGCCAATGGCTCCAAGGCTCCATCTCATTCAGATGCGCACACCGCTTGTTGCGTCATCGTCATCGCCGCACTGAGACATCTCGTGTAGGATCGGTACCGATCCAGTGTATTTGATCACGTATCCTATGAGTATGATTAATGAGTTCATTCCGCTCACAGGCGAGAGATATCCCGCTCGAGCATCAGCCCGCACCCAAAAACGATTGGACGGCTCCCATTGCACGGCATGTCACGAATGCTCGCAAGCTCGCAACCCAATGATGGATGCATCAAGAACCCCGCGTTTATCTCTATTCGTCGAGGAAGGAGACCGCTAGACTCTGAAATCTCCTGGCACGTGACTCCCAACCCGCTATGATTCTCTGAACCTGCTAGCTCGATCTGGGGATCTTTGTGCAGGGTCCGATCCTTTTCTTGAGACGAACCAAGGAGGCTTGAGGGTGGAACTCGACTGCGTTTCCGATCCCACGATCAGACAGACGGGGATTCTACATCCTATATGGGATGGAATCCTCTAACTGAGTGAGAGCTCGCCTTGAGTGAATTCTACAGCTGAACTTTATTGAAACGCTCGCGATTTAGAAGATTGGAAATATGTACAGAGAAGATTTCCTGAATGTCGATCCGTAGCCGACTGCAGGTCTTAGTGGACCCTACCGCAGTATCTCATGCCTAGGGCAGGAAGTTCTATCAAGAATTTACAGGGTGTTCGAAGCCGAGATTACGGCGCTCGGTAGCATCTGCAGATTCGAAAGCATTATCGTTCTGCTGTCATCTCTCACACATTCTCAAGGGTTGGTCATCCCACTGCCGATCCAGGTTTCTCAGTCGCCAACATGTTACGTTGATCGACCTACAGATGTCTTCTACTTAACGCGGATCCGCTGGACAAAGAAACTTTTTTTGCATGTAGCCGTTTGCAGGGTCACGGATCAGTCCGCAGACTCTCTCATTTGCCCACCCACCGCTCAACCGGAATTCAGAAATCCAGCACCGTGAGATTTAGACCTTTTCTGATCAGACCTCTGAATTCTATCCGAGGGTTTCATTAGAACCTTGTTCGATGCCTCGTGGGTGGATTTGAGCTCTTTCTGGGTATCGGTGTCCGTTTCCGGAAACAACATCTAATTAAGGCTAAATTTCCCGATTCTGGACATTCTTCAATTTAGATAGGGGATGATAAAGCAATATTTCGATCTGATACGTTGAAGATCCCACCGCATTCACAACGTCCCCTCTGGTGCTGTCAGCTCAGTAATACTACTACGTTAGGTCCTTAGATTAGCTCACGACGACGGTCTGGCTGATGACCGTGAGACACTCCTCCAAATACAACATCCCTCAACAAAACTCTCCTCGCGGAAAAACTCCCGCTTGATTCTGATAATATCCGATAGCTTCCAGAACGATTACTCGAGAGTACACTTGCCTTCCTTGTCAATGAGAGCGACAAGATCATACCGCTTGAAACATAGCGTGAAAATCAGACGGATTCGGCGGGTTCACAAAATTGTTATAACTCATTGTCCTCGGAGCCGTCTGATCGAATCAGTAAGCGGATGCGTCGCATTCTAAGCTGACAGATTCCCGTTATCGTACAGGAATACATCGTACATCTCCGCGATCACTTGACGGCCTCCGAAAAATCGCCCGTGCAAAGCTCGAATCGCTTGATGCATTTCCGCGGTAGAGCCGAATTCGACGAAAATTTTCACATCAGTCGTCGAAGCATCGTCTTCTTCACCGTGTCTCTCCATGTGGATCAGAACCTTTTGCACCTTTCCGAATTTCCCGCATTCTTCGCTGATTTCAGGCTCCAGATCTTCGTCTACTTCGTCTGCTCCAACCATGTTCCTGAAAAGCCACGGCACGGCATCAGTAAGTGGAATCCATCGAGGACGACGAGGACATCGAGGACGACAGAGAAAACTCAAGCGTTCTCACCTCAGGATCATGACGCACTGTTCACGTGTCTTGGTTCGCATAAGTCTCCGCATCATGGCAAGTCTGGCGCCTCCTCCTTTGATAGCCACGTCGCCTTCAGGATCTTCGGAGTCCCCGACAGGAGCTAAGGGCAGTTCTTTCGCATCCTCCAGAAGATCCTCAAAGGAGGGCTTTTTCAGTTGAGGAGGAGACGTGCTCGCAACGGGAGCGGGAGCTGGTGCCGGAGCTGGAGGATGGACAGCGACACCGATCGGTGGGAGAGTGTTAATGACAGTCGGAGGTGGGAGGTGGACCTTCGGTTTTCCATCTGCGTCAACTGAAACCGAAATTTTCCCGTTGGAGAGAAACTCACCGCATAAGGGACTCATGCGGAAAATGAAGCGATCTCGGTCACCGTCATCGCCCCAAGAATTTGAACTTACGGGTCACGATTCCTGGCGGAGGGAGGGCGACAGGAATGCTAATGGGGGAATTACTGGATTGGGAAGGGGGAGGAACCGCTTCCATCGCTTGAATTTTGGCCGTGGCAGCTGCGGCGGCAACGGCTGCAGCGGTTGGCAGGGGTCCAACGATTCCGGGGGCCGCGGGCATAAGAACTCCGTGCGTGTTGAGAGCGCAGTCAGGTGGCGTGATCGCACGACCGACGCGTACCAGTTGGCCACCAAGATCGAACATATTCATAGAGGCGATCGCGTCAGCGGCGGCTTGACTCGTCTCGTATTCAATGAAGCCGAATTCACGGTGTTTCTCTGCTGCCGTCATTCCGGGCGCCAATTTACAGCTTTTGATCTTGCCGAAAGCTTCAAACACCGAATGAACGTCGGCATCACTGAGATCTTGATGGATCGAAGCAATGTATATGCGAGGCGACGATTTCGACTCTTCCATTATTTGCTCGAGAATCGGAGCCGCTTGAGGCATGTTCGAGGGACGACCGACCTGTCGAAGAAGAATCCAGAGGTTGGTCTTGGACGGATGGAGGAGGGAACGAATGCGAGACCGAAATTCATGCGAGAATGAAGCGATGGTTGCAACGAACCTTGATGTTTCGGCCTCCCATGAAAACTCCATTCATTTGCTCCAAGGCCAGTTGAGCGGCCTCGGGGAGCTCGAATTCCACGAAGGCGAAGCCTTTGTGTCTCGAAGTGATGGTGTCGTAGGACATGTTGATGGCTTTTACCGGTCCGAAAGGTTTGAACGCCGTGCGCACCGCGTCTTCCTTCAGCTCAAAGCTGATGCTGCCGACGTAGATACGGCACATCAGGACCAGGGCCTATGATGAGAAATCAGTCAGATTCTGAGAGTATAATCATAAGCGAAAGATACTTGAGAAAGTCCCGGATCGTGCAATCGCGGCTCCCTGGCGGAAAAAATCCGGCGGGCAACAGACCTGGTGTCTCTGGAGGGATTTCTGCTGTTGCTGCGTATGCGCCATGGTCTGTTTTATGATGACGGTCTTTATGCTCTGCTCCGTGGCATATTTCTTCGCTCGATCGACCATCTCCTTCTGTTCAGGTGTCAATTCCGGGAGCTCGTAGCTTCGGATAGCTTCCAGGGTAGCTTGGGCTTGGTCTTTCAGAGCGCCGGGCCCCGCCAGGACGGGACCCGTTTGTACCCCTAGAAATGCTACGAGAAATCAGCACGCTTGAAGTTGCAACCGACTCAGCCGGGAACACTCCGCGACTCCGACTGCAGGAGAACTTCCATTCGAATAATCGTGAACTGTTCAACCCTTGTCTCATACGAAAAAAGATAGACCCTATGTTCCGTATCAAATGTCCGAAGAAATCGTTGTTCGGCGGGTTTTCGATTCCCGAATGAATGCTTGCTTTCTGAGCTGAATCTTTCACCACAACGGTCTACCTAGTGGACTCCAGAATCTATGAGGTACCTATTGGCTAGAGGGCCATTCTCAACAGGGCCAACGGTTTCTGTAAGAGTAGGACCTGGAATAAACGAAAAAAAACATCTCTTATGAGCTCATTGGAAACAGCTCGAACGCGATCAACGGATCATCGAGTCAGAGCAGCGAGTATCTCTTGGATAAAATGGTGCACTCCGAGAACGATGGAAGAGAAATGGAAGCCTAGGTGGTCGATGCGTCTTCTTTCAGGTTTTTAGTCTTGCGGTTATCGCAGGGGAGCGATCTACGAAACTCTAGGGAATTCCCTCAGAGGGAGCTGCCGTCAAAGGTCAAAGCTTCCTTCGGATGCACAGCTCGGTGCTTTCAACGCACACGAATCGACTAAAAATCGGAGCGGAGAAGACACAAAATGCGAAAACGCAACAGGACTCTGCGGATAAGTTCTGAGAATATCTCTTCGTATAACAACGAGCTCGATGGGATCGACGGTGCAGGACGCATCGGGAGTCATTCAGGAGGCCTTTCGCCTGCCGGAATCGCTGAGGAGATATAATAGAAAAGTTTAGATGACGAGGATAGCCGGCTAAATTCGCAACCACTTCGATTCATGAGAGAGCGCGTCTGACTACAGCAAGAATTCGCTTCGCATTCGATCGAATCGGGTAGGACGGAATGCGACTCTCCAGCACAATCCTCTAACTGGTGAACTATATCGGGTTTTCCCAGACAGGATGCTTCTGTCGCTGGCATCAGTGCGCTTTCTTAGTCAACCAGGCGCAAATCAAGGTTAGCCAGGCGTGAGGACTGACGAGTGATATTCGTCTGTCGTGCCCGCTCTTGTTAGTCTGAACGTTTCGCGTCTAGCCCCGTTTGCCATGTTGGCGAATCGCCTTGTCGCGAAACTGACTCTTGTCCAAACTCATAGCCGTGCGCGTGTCCTTGGAGCTCCCAAGCTGAGGAGTTGTGCTGCCGTCTCGTGGAATAAACAAAACACAGTTCGAAACGTTATTCAAAAACCCAGCTCTGCATAGATCTCTGACAGCTGCTTGTCGATAGCGAATGCAGAGCGGGAGGATTTTTTCTAAGGACTCCGATCTGTCTTTGTCTGCCTGTTCACTCGAGAGACTCACCATATTTATTGTCGACTTTCGGCTTCTTTGCGTTCTCAGCGTGCCATACATTGCCGCCGAGGTTTGCCTGGGGGAAAACAAATCCTTTTTCAGAAGATGCCCGGAAACGATTTTATAAGGCGAGCCGAGTGTGATCGATAGCTCTAGTTTAAGAGAGTCCGCCCGAAGGCCAGATCGGGGTATCCTCTTCCGAGGGATTGAGAATCTGGAACATTGTTCCTCTCGAGTTTCGCAATAAGAGGATTTCAGCGGTAAATATACGCGTCCATCTCTCGATCCTCGCGAATGGAGGGGTATCAATCGTGATTCGGCCACTGATCGAATTCCGATCGCGAATGTATACTGAGGCCACATCTGGTAGGGGTTTCGATACGTTTTCATGAATGCGCTCTTCTTTCAAATTTTTGACCTACTTGCGGAGTCGGGAGGGTCCGCGTCATCGCGTACATCGTGCGAGGAGTCCCAGCAGTCCTGTGTCTCTGAAATTTCGCTAGACTTCCCTGAATTCGGGAAACGATCCGATAATCCTCTGGCTTCCGCTCGTTTGTTGGTCCCAGCTAGCTGCACACTTGCCTACTACGCAACAACAACAATAAGAGGAAGTTCGAAAACAGACGCTCATCTTGTGCTGTGACTAGTTCCGTCACTTAACGAGTCGCCTCAAAACGCTTACTTTCTATAGCGAAATCCCCACGTGTTCGCCATACACTCAAATCTATACGATGTCCCCGTGTCCTCCTCGGGAAAGCTTAAAGTGTTCAGCTCGATGAATTATTCGAAGATCGCCCCCGGGAACTCTTCTCGACAAGCAAGGGGTCTAAAGCTCGGAAGGCGAGTCAACTACCGACCGGCCATCAACGACAACGACAGAGTCGTCTTCGAACAGAGAGAGCTTGCGGGATCAGTTCGGCTCTGCATTGTCTTATTGCTCTCTGCTAATCAAAAATCGTCTTCTCATACATCCCATGAGGAATTGACCGTCATCATGGCGTCCGCAGCTATGAACAGCAGCGAAGACCAAGAGAAAGTGAGGTTCCAGATCGAACTCGAGTTCGTACAGTGCCTGGCAAATCCGAACTACTTGAACTTCTTGGCCCAAAGGGGATTCTTCAAGAAGAAAGCTTTCTGCAATTACCTGAACTATCTCCAATACTGGAGCAAACCGGAATATGCCAAGTTCATCAAATACCCGATGTGTCTGTATTTCTTGGAGCTCCTCCAATATGAACATTTCCGGCGAGAAATCGCGAACGGCCAGTGTGCGAAATTCATCGAAGACCAACAGCTGCTGCATTGGCAACATTACACACGCAAAAGAGCGAGATACATGACAACCCTGTGAGTTCCGATAGAGGAACGTGTTTTTTTTGTGGACTCCTGATCGAGAATAAAAAAATGAATGAATAAAAATAAATAATAAATAAATATATCTCCCAGGAATCATTGTACTCATCTCTCCCAGAATCATTTTCCCGCCGGAATCCTATCCAATGCTAGTCGACCATTGGCAGTGAGAGGATATCCCGAAACTTCCAGCCATCCCAAAAACTCTCAGGAATTCGAAGTTGACCCGGAGGAATGGCGGGAGGCGGGGATATCCGCAATCTATCCATCGCATGTGGAACCATGAGGTATTCCGCTTGTAATAGCTGTCGAGGTAAAGATATTGCTCTGTCATGACGATAGGTCGAGTCAAACGCACAGATATGAATGATTGATATTCTGTTTTATTGAAACACGTGCGGCGTCATCTATATTACAAGCTCTATATACAGAAACGTTTCTACTCTGCATCCATCGTGCTTCATGTTTCTCTCTGTCTACCTGTGAGTCAGACTCTTCCGGCGTGGACCTCAATCGAATCTCAATCAGAATATGTTCAATATATATAGAAGTTTACATACTCGAGACCCGCAAGATTACAGCGGCGGCGCTGATAGAAGACGGAGTCAAGTTCAGAATTCCCCTCCCGCCCCAATCTAGTTGCAGTCATATTTTTCACACGCCGAATGGGAGTTGGCCAGATACGCAGACGAGAAATTTGCATAGCACTGGTCAGGAGACCCGAAATATAGTTTATTCTCCATTCCGATTACTATGAGACCGCTCAAAAATACACGGTCGTTTGAGCTTATCTTAGACGTATACTTCTTCTACTCCCGATCCCAAACATTCGTTTCGAAACTCCTCGAGAGAAGCGACATAAATTACTTTAATACGGTTCACAAACTTGTATCTCAAACTGGATTCATGTACTTCGAGAGATTTCGGTCAGACCCAATCATACGGTTCCCTTCCTCGCGTTTCTCAAGGTGAAAATTTGATAATCTATTTTCAGTATAATGGCAGTGACTTAGCTTGGGACATACTCGGTAATCCATCGCTGACACTCGCAAGGAAAAAGGAGCTCGCGAAAAAATATGTATAAAAGTGGCCTGAAAGCAGCTCTTTCACAAGCGATTGGTCTCACACGCAGATGATCCCGCAAATTCGCTCGCGTAAGCTGTATACTTCCAGGAAAAATCCGGAAAAAAGGTAGTGAACCCCAAAATACGTTCGGGGCGATTAAAATCCATAAAATTGAGGAATTTGCAGAGGGAAGATTTGAAACAACATATTCTAACTACTAATCGAAATCTTCTTCAAGCCTACGAATTGCATTCTCTCTAGAAGTCGTCGCCGATTCGGTGACGGATACTGATGAACGTTATTCATTGAGATCAAAGACGTACGTTAGCATTCTCGGGAGAAGAAGAAACGACTTTCAGGGCCTTTTCTCCTTTTTGGGCAAATGGCGTCAAACAAGTTTGACATTTTTCCTCCTCCAACTAAGTCTCCTCATCTATCTCAAACTCTGTCCCTTCGGAACTGCCTCCCGCTGTTGGCGGCAATTCCCGGGAACTTCTAGTAATTGGGATTCTTACATTCCATGTGTTCGCCTCTCAGCACTAAATCTCCCCTAACAATAAATAGTTGCAGTACATGAGATGCAGTCGTGGCTGGCTCCATGAGAACCGCGGTGAGACCGTCGGATTGCATGTACCGATTCGGGGGGTTTCTGGTCTCTGCTACCAGGGTTCGTTCCGAAGCTGGCAATAAGATCCGATGCAGCCCGCCTGCTTTCCATCTCTCTTCTTCGGTCTCACGGCTCCATCTTTTCAGACGTTCCATGGAAGGAGGACCTAACTATAAAGCTTTCATAAGATTTTGGGAGCTAAGACGCGACTCTCGAATTTCGATCCGAGGGGAACGAACGAAAGAAAGATGGCGAGCTCGTGAGAAGAAGTTTGAGGAGATCTTCGCAGAGTTATGTCTCAGCTCTAACTAATCGATAGATCGATGGATCCTCTCTGAGTGAAGGTGGCAGCCGGAACTTCATTCAATCGTAATTTCTGAGATCTGGAAGACAGAAGGAATTCTTCAGCGTCGGGCCTCGCGTCCAAGTGGTCGTTGACCGGTGGCGGAACGCAGTCGCCATGATTCTCCCTGATAGGTACAGGATTCGAGGTCTTCGGTGATTCCAGTGACCCACCTTTTTAAGTACGAAGTTGTCGTATATGCGGTGGAGTTCCTCTTTCGTGTATTCTTCGAGAACCACGATGTTTTTCAGGGTTTTGCTAAGCTTCAGTGCGCATTCGATGCAGTGCACCATGTGTTTCTTGTCGATCTCTTTCACGAATAATATGTTGAATACTTCCACCTGGAACATGATAAAAAACATCCAATCATCGATTCTGACTCGCTCGAAAGTATGATGGGGAATTGCCGGAGATTCACGGCGAATATCAAACGAAGAACGACTCCCCGTCAGTTCGCTCCCTAACATGAGTATTCGAGGAGGAAGGGACTCACATCACACGAGTTGCAATAATAGGTTTCTTCGTCATCGTTGCGCCCGTGGAAAATGATGTTCTTGCCGAGACGCCGCACGAACTTCCGCTGGCGTTCTACGCACCGAAGACTCGTCATCAGACACGATTGGATGTGTCGGAAGAGCTCTTCTTCGACCGGTTGGATGTTCCGGATTCTGCTGTTACGGTCTTCTTCGGACGCGGCGTTCCCGAGCTTTTGAAGCCAGAGCACTTTCTCCATGAGGCTCTCGTTCTTCGCCGTGAGCTTCGGGGCGATCTTCTTGGTCACACCCTTGACGTCAACGAAAGTCAGATTCCGGGCGAGATTCCAAGTAAGGTGCAACATGGGCACGATGGACTTGAAGCCCTGCATGCGATTCCACTCGTAGCGCTCTACGCCGAGTCTGTACTGTTCGAGGTTGAAGGGACCGATGTTCCACGCAACATTGTTGCACCAGCCCGACGCCTGTACCCAATGCACGCAGCCCGCGTTCACGAACACCGTATCGCCTGGCTTCTGAGTGAATCGGTACACCGGAATATTCGCAGCCAGGAGATCCTCTTGGAGAGGCCACCAAGAGCCAAACAAGTAACTGGTGCCGTTACGCTCACAGAGCGCGTGGATGTCTCCCCAGTAGGCGTCATCTACGCCGAACCACTCACAGTCGCCCGGTCCGATGTTTATGTTCACCGAACAGAAGTTATTGTTCTCCTGATGACCCGGAGTCCTCGAGCCGGGAACTTTCATGTACAGTTGGACCGTGTTCATTCCCAGTATCGTGTGACCGACGTGCGATAGCATATTGCTCTCGTCAACCACTCGAGCGAAGGGAGGGAGTTTCTGGAGCTCGTTAAGCTGGGCTCCCCATTTTTTATGATCGGAAAGGTCCAGGTTCGTTCCGAACTTGATTGTCTTGAAGCTCGACGACCTCCGCTGGCGTTTGGGTTTCAGGGTTCCGGCGCTCTGCAAATTGGAATCGGACTCCGAGTCGGAGAACTCGATTTCTTTGAGCTCCGGGAGCTCCAGGTCGCCGCCTTTCTGCTTGAGCTTGTTCTTAAGACTCTCGACGTAGGTTTCCGACTGATACTGAGCGTATCTCGAGACGGTTGTGTGGCCGCGATGTGATTCGCATCGCCAGATCTGCCGTACTTTGTCAGCATCCCAATTTTCATCGGAGCTCTGCTGGAACTGTGTCCGAACCTCGATAGTGTGTTCTGGGTTTGACTGGGAGAGAGCTTTCGTTGAAAACAGCGAGAGGTCGACCTTGAGAACGTTACACATATTCCGAACTATGGTGATCGGATGCGATGTGCAGAACGCCTTAACTCTCGCGTTCAGCGCTTCCTCGGCGGTCCGCACCGTGACGAATTTCACCTTCGGCAACAGTTTTTCTCTCGGGAGTCTCGGACCGTCTCGCGCAGGAAATTTCGGTCCGGTGTAATCGTCGAGGAGCGCCATCGTCGGCACGATATGTCCCAAGTCCTCCACCGCGCACTGTTTCTCCAGTTCCTTGGCTGTCATGTTCTTGGAGAAACAGGCGTTGAATTCTTGTAGGTTCACCTTGACGGCATGGTGTGCTGGATGAATGAATCGGGCGTCTTCGTACAAGACCTCCTCCTTCGAAGGGTCGTCGTCTCCACTTTCTTCGCCCGAACTCCCCAGCGAGTCTCTAGACATGCTCTCAAAGTTACCACTCTTCCGTTTGCGGAGGAGAAGCTTCAAGTGCTTCCTCTCGTCCTTTATATCGACTCCTTCACGAATCATGCGCTTGATAGGATCGCCCTCGTCGCGGACGTTGTACTTGCTGCACACAGACTGAAATGGGAATAATTCATTCCGATTATTCGACTGTCACGCGCGCTATCACTTTCGGGGAGAGGATTGGGCTAACAAGAAAAGTACTATACTCACCTTTTCCAACGAATAAGTCATCATCGGAGGAGCCATCGGTGGAGGGCAGAACGAATCAAGGGGGGGCTTCATGTCGATTTTGCCGAGACCCTTTGACATGACGTCGGGCGGCATTCTGAACGGTCCTCCCCGGACGCTTCGCGACGGCATCAGCTGCGGGAAATTGTGTCATTCGTCTTTCTGTCACATTACCAAGCCTAGGCAATGAGGAATCGAGTCCTCTCTCAGACGAACGGATAGATATCTCGGAGCACGAGAGATTTACCTTGTAGGATGCGTCATCCTGGGGAACCTGCTGGGCGTTCTCGTAGTCCGGTGAAGACATCTTGTCGTAGTGAAGTTGCGTATTCCGTTCCACGCAAGCGGCAGTGTTGAATGGCAGTGAAAATCTGAGGAACGAGAATGTCTCCTGTTACGGGCGGTCAATATCGCGGCTCCGCTTTCGATGCCCATTGTCTTATCTGAAGCGACCGAAAGCCGCAACGTAAGCCCGCCGTGCTGCGACCGCCAACGCTGGTCGGCGGTCATGCAGTCCGGGCTTACCAGTCTACAATAAATCAAAGCAGGACGGGGACGAAAAAATCGTCGCTTCTTCACCCACACCACCCCACTCTGGGGAGCGGTCGCTTGTCTTCTGGCTCCCAAGTGTCCATAAATCGTCAGCACCAATTGTCAACATTTCGATCGATAGATAACAGAGCTCATACACGAGACGAAGCTGGCGGACGAGAGCGAGTCCAAGCCCGAGAGCCCGAATTCCCGCTCCGACGCTGAGCAGCCCCGGCGCCTCACGATATCGATAATCTCACTGTCGCGGAAAACTATGGAAACTTGGTATGCTCGACATCCGACAGCTCCCTCTACAAAAAGCTTCAGTAGATCCCCCTGGGTGAAGACCCTTATCATGGGGAGCGATCTACCAGCGGAATCCTCATGGTACCGTTCAGCCATCGACCGGAGAAGTCTCTCTCCATTCCTCGCTTGTCAAGCTTCGAGGTATCATTCAGCGGAACGCTGATTGAGTCATTCTGAATGACTCGCTTTCGACGCGATCTCGAACGTGCGCCCACCGTGGGAACCTTCCGGTTTCACTCGAATACGAGGAGCGGCGCTCGACGACTTAATGAGAGTAACACCGACTGGAACGCGTCCGGAACGCTCGAGCTGCGACACAGAGCGTTGGTGGATTTGAACCGCACGGTTTTCCGGATGGAGTCTCGACGCACGATATCAGAGGCACTTCAGTCCGGATTAATGACATCAGAGCTCCCTATCCTCACCGCCACATAGTAGGACCTCTTCTGGAAAAGAGGTTTTGATCCGCTGCAGTGAAGTCCATGAGATGCACTCAGACACTTTAGACACACTGCGAAAGCGTCGATCGACAAGCGCGGTACATCGTCGATAACTAGCATCCGATCACTTGTGTGGATTTCTTTATGCTTCGGCATTCTTATCGAGCCACGCCCCCTCTCCTCCATTACGTCTCACGTTATTTCCAGCAGAATTGATGTTTTTTCCCAGAAGCAGGTACGTTCCTCCCCGACCGTCCCGTTCCGGACCGGAGGGCCGTGAGTCATCCTCACGGGCCGTCACCGCGCTGTGATTGTCGTTGTCGGTTCAATCATCTTCGCTGTGATTTCTTTCTTATTAGCGAAGCGTTAAAGCTGCGGAGCTATTCGATCGAAGAAGAAACCCTCAAAGCTCCCTCACGGAGGGCTCGCGAGGATCGACCACATGCGACATTGAAGTTTCGTAAAACTTTAGCTAGCGATGAAATAGGCGAAATGTTCACGAGCGACGACGGCCTACGCAATAATAATGACGCTGATGACGGTGACGAAAACGATAGAGACGAAGAAGACGAGGATGCGAAACGCCCGAAATGTCTCTTCCGTTGAGAGAAACTAGCGAAGATGAGACGATGGAGGAGAGAGATAGCGAGAGATTTTTAGAATATCGTCGTCTCCACCCTTTGTGTCTCGTGTCTCGCCTCCAGCCGGAGACACGACAGACGGAAAACGCTTCGGTCCTCCGACCTTTCGATAAGCGCCGTCTGGTGGGAGTCTTCGTCACCCGCCACTCTATCGGTCGGTAGCTTGGACGCTCGGATGGTGGCTCGCCTGCTCGTTGGCTGGCTGGCTTGCATGCTTCGCTGCTCCGTTGGGTGACCCACAAACCGAAGTCGTATTCTTCATCTCGACCCGCTGTCTTCGTTGAAGTTATCGTCAGGGAGCGACGTCTAAGCTCGGTTTCGAGCCTCACTTAGCGAGCTTGACCGAGGGAGCAAGTTGGACAGCTAGCAAAGTAGAGCCTCGGTCTGTCAGTCAGTCAGTCACGCGGTCGGTCAAACAGCCAACCAGTCACTCATTCATTCGACCAAACTGCTAAGCAGCGGTTTACAGCGGCGCTGACTTGACTTGGGTACGGCTTACTAGTTACACCGACACTATCCCCGAGCATTACTACCAACACCACCATCGCCACAAACATTATTGTTAAGAGCGCTCAAGCAGGAATTCCGTGGCGCCGGAACAGACAGCTGAGCGTCGAGAAGTTCCACTTCGGAAAACTCCACCAGCCATGTCGGCCGTGCAAGCCCATGATTTGGATTATTATGGATATTTACTCTGATTCTTATCCTTGGCGCATGTATCGAGCGTTCCGGATATTCGCGAGGGATTTTTCGGGATAGAATAGTTCCCGGAGAATTTTTGTTTCATTCTCCATCATTCGAGCTATCCAAGATTGCCGTAGTTCCTGTTGTGTGCACTAGCACAGATGAGAACTCAGGTGTATGAGCCGCCCTGTGGTATCCGACACCGCGCTTCCCCGTATCACAATGGCCGAAAGACGTGGGTGCTCGGGTGCTGCGGCGAGTGGGACTGAAGAGACTCATGCTCAGCAAATCATTGATGCTTTCAGCAAGCGTCGCCCTACAGGACAAGCTCAACGGGCATCTTCGAGTCGTAACTCTCGAATCATCCTCAGAGGCGTACCGGGAAATGCTCGTTTCATGGTCCGCTCCCGATTCCCATTCTAAGCGTCTGATCGGCTCGATGGCTTCTTCTGACTCTTCGCCCGTTTGTAGACCTAGCTGGTCAGAGGGTCGCTCATTAGGAGCGTAGGGCTTGTTCTCCGAGAATCGTGAGTCGGTTTTTTAAGGGATTCTTCTTCCTTTGAAAACTGCACACCGGAGCCGCCGCCGCCGCCTCCGCATCGTCTGTCTCTTCAAGGAACGTGCGTTCGACTTCAGAAGCGCTCCAGAATTGGGATCATGGGTGCGATCTAGGAGGAAAGCAACTTTCGAAACAGAATATTCACCTAGTTTTTGAGGTGGGCAGTCCGATTAATCCCTCATGGCAGTGAATTGACAGTGGAGCGAATCTGGAACGAAAGACGATTCTTATAATACCTGAATTATTATCGGGCTCCGTCGGAACGGAGAAAAATTGCGTCACCGTACCCATTTGCGGGAAAGTCAACCCCGACTGCGAAAACTAGCGATTTCTGAAACTGCCTGCCCACGTCACGTCATGCGACGCATCCGAACTCATACGAGAATCTATAGCGTCCCCAGTCAATGACAGTACAACATTATAATTTGGGCTCAGCGAAGCCTGACAGCGCAAGGTGGGTATGATGACCGATAAGTGTTATCCACCGGAATGGAATTTATTCATCGGAACAGGAAGCACACCGTTACGAGAGACGCGACGGGATTCCGGATCTCTGCATGCCCTCTCTGAGCTCTGCCTACCGTGAAACCCGTGAGATCCACCACAAGAATTCGCTCCAGACATCAATCCGAATCTATCTATGAGAGTCAATGAAACCGTAGGCCGTCACGTAAAAATACACGTGGATGCCGTAGGTGCGTATGTGAGTTTGCGCGTCAGATGCCTCGACTTCCGGCTTCACTCGGGCAGACATCTGCGTACTGACGGAACCGCCAGCTCCGAGCACCTCGTGAGCGTGTAGGCTCGTAGCAGATCAGCCTAGCGAGCCAGAGACCACCTGTCCGGTGATCTTGGGCGAGCGTGGATCCCGACGACCGTTCGCTCGAGCGTCTCAAGGTCCAAACCGTTGAATCACGACGACAACGGCGATGACTTCTTCGTTTTCAGACGCCGAACCAGCCATTTTGAATGGGCGGAATGCTTGCAAACAAAAAGCTCAGCGCCGAGACAGTTCCGCCGTCCTCGTAGTTCTCGCCATTCTGTTCAGGTCGCGTCGCTTTCGCGGAGGCCAAAAGAGACAGGGCATTTCGGGTCGATAGCGGCGGCGGCGATTGCAGGGATCCCTGGATGGATGGCTCTGGACTAGAAGAAGGCTCTCGAGATATTCCCGAAGCTGCTACGGACCTCAGCGTTGCCGGCGACCGTTGCGGCTTCGGTGAGACGGAAAATTACGGATCGCTCAGGAACTTTTGGAATGGCCGTTGGATCGGAAGTTCCCCGTTGATTGTTGGAAGTAACACGTCGTTAGGGAGCTCGACCGTACGTGACTGTTCGTTCCTCGGTTCCGATTGATTCTTCTGCGTGAACTCGAATGGATGAATGTCCCGGGTCCCGAACCAAGTGTTCAGACGCGATTCGGTGCTCTAGAAATCCAGAACAAGCGAACAATGCCCGCTGTCGAGCGGTAACTCATAGACAATTCGGTGGGAAGCTTGGTCAAGTTGGCAACGCATTGCTTGCCGCTGAGCGAGAGGGCTCGATGGCCCCCATACTCATTGAACATCTTGTGAAGTTTTCTTCTGTGCATCTTTTCTACTTCTCGTTTGGTGCCTCTCGGAGGCCACCGCTTTACCTTCTTTACCCGTGGCTCCACGGCGTTCCGAAGTCTTCGATCCAAATTCGGTTAAGGGAACGACGAGAATAATCTATGTATATCGCCGAATTATTGTTATGGGATCGAATTCGAGGAGCCGATGGACGAAGGTAATTTTCGCGATAGGTGAGAGATCGTCCGAGGAATCGTTTGACCTGGTCTTGCCCATGAGAAAAAGGGGTACCTAATTGAAAATGTCGTTGAGCGTCTAGAACTCGCTTTCTAGCTATTCTATTCTGTTGGAACCCGTCGAGCTTTAGGCCCTGGTTTCGGGTCTGTGACTAAAGGAGCACTCATTAGCCGATGGAAATCTTCCGTACGCCTAGTCGACGAACGCCATCTGGTTTTTGGATCCGATGGGGTAAACAGACCTATGAAGGAAAGCCCTAGCCGACGACACAACGGTCCGTGAATTTTTTGTTTTCAGATTTACATATAAGTCGACTCTTTTCTCATCTGATGTTTCATGTCCACGGAACCCGAAACGTATTC